AGTCACCGAGTCATCGCGTCATCGTGTCACCGAGTCATCGCGTCACCGAGTCACCGAGTCATCGCGTCATCGCGTCACCGAGTCATCGCGTCACCGAGTCACCGAGTCATCGCGTCATCGCGTCACCGAGTCATCGCGTCACAGAGTCATCGCGTCACAGAGTCATCGAGTCACCGAGTCATCGAGTCATCGAGTCACCGAGTCACCGAGTCATCGCGTCACCGAGTCATCGAGTCACCGAGTCATCGCGTCATCGTGTCACCGAGTCATCGCGTCACCGAGTCACCGAGTCATCGCGTCATCGCGTCACCGAGTCATCGCGTCACCGAGTCACCGAGTCATCGCGTCATCGCGTCACCGAGTCATCGCGTCACAGAGTCACAGAGTCACAGAGTCACAGAGTCACAGAGTCACCGAGTCCGACTGAATGAACCACAAAGCCGCTTCTTACAACCAGGGATAATTCCACCCCGACATCCTTACACGACACCAAGATTGTTCATTTCGCATGTAAACAATGTTAAAATAAACAACGTATGTTGTCCAAGGCTTGGTAGATATTATGCTGTTATTATGTACATGCATATCCTTTCAATGAAACCCCAGTGTTATTAAATTGGTGGTTACATATTTATAAGACATTCAAATAATAAAATTATTCAAACAAAACACATACATATTTAAAATTAATCTGCAGCGTGGGGTGTCGATGTAATTATTCTCCCGACCTGCATCTTAAAGAAACCCAAGTTCATCCGTGGACAGGGGGCACGGGTAGCCCAGTCGTCTAAGGCGCCGCGATTCGCTGTGCAGAGTTGCGTCCCTTGGGCACGCCAGAAACCTATGATTGTGGGTTCGAATCCCGGTTCGCCCCGATTATGTTTCTAGGTTTGTCAACACCTTGCCCGTGCTCGTGGGTTTCACCGAAGTGGTAAACGTCGGAGACCTGCATCACTTCGGGCTTTCCTCCCACATTAAGCTGACACGCCCCGATATAACTGGAATACTGTTAAAAGCGGCGTTAAACCCAACTCACTCACTCACTCATCCGTGGACACGTGGTTACATGAAAACGAAACGTCAGTATCCCGGATCAGCCAGACAGTCTCGGTGCTGTTGTTGTGATAATGTTTCCCATTGAAACAGGTGTTGTGTGGGAAGTCAGATAAATGGCCATTAGTTGTCGCTGCTGATGTTTTCAAGTTGTAGTTGTATAATTGGTTACAGCTTGTATCATCGACTGAAATGGAACGTTTCATGAAAAATAATCACAAGTTATTTGTCCGCACGAGCAGGCATGACATGAAATGACGTCAGAGTGATGTGAACAGGATCGGTGGAAGTCGTCGGGCGTAGTCAGTTAGTGTCCACTAGTCCATCATGACTTGCCTGTCCATCAACGTGACTTCTACTAAGATAAAATTAACTATCACAGCTGTTTCACCATGTCTTTGATTTGAATAGTTTTGTCAGTCAGCATCATTTAGTGTCAAATTCTACAGTTCTGCTAAACAAACAGTCATTGATAGTTAGCAGAACTGTAGAATGTGACACTATATGACAAACAGTCATTGATATTTAGCAGAACTGTAGAATGGGACACTATATGACAACCAGTCATTGATATTTAGCAGAACTGTAGAATGTGACACTATATGACAACCAGTCATTGGTATTTAGCAGAACTGTAGAATGTGACACTATATGACAAACAGTCATTGATATTTAGCAGAACTGTAGAATGGGACACTATATGACAACCAGTCATTGATATTTAGCAGAACTGTAGAATGGGACACTATATGACAAACAGTCATTGATATTTAGCAGAACTGTAGAATGGGACACTATATGACAACCAGTCATTGATATTTAGCAGAACTGTAGAATGGGACACTATATGACAAACAGTCATTGATATTTAACAGAACTGTAGAATGGGACACTATATGACAAACAGTCATTGATATTTAGCAGAACTGTAGAATGGGACACTATATGACAAACAGTCATTGATATTTAGCAGAACTGTAGAATGGGACACTATATGACAAACAGTCATTGATATTTAGCAGAACTGTAGAATGGGACACTATATGACAAACAGTCATTGATATTTAGCAGAACTGTAGAATGGGACACTATATGACAAACAGTCATTGATATTTAGCAGAACTGTAGAATGGGACACTATATGACAAACAGTCATTGATATTTAGCAGAACTGAAGAATGGGACACTATATGACAAACAGTCATTGATATTTAGCAGAACTGTAGAATGGGACACTTTATGACAACCAGTCATTGATATTTAGCAGAACTGTCGAATGGGACACTATATATGACAACCAGTCATTGATATTTAGCAGAACTGTAGAATGGGACACTATATGACAACCAGTCATTGATATTTAGCAGAACTGTAGAATGGGACACTATATCAATGACAAAGAGTCGGGGGTACGGATGGCGCAGTCGTCTAAGGCGCCGCGACTCTCTGTGCAGAGTTGCGTCCCTTGGGCAGGCCAGAAACCTATGATTGTGGGTTCGAATCCCGGTTCGCCCTCATTATAATTGTAGGTTTGTCAGCACCATACCTGTCAGCACCAAACCGTGGGTTTCACCAAAGTGGTAAACGTCTGAAACCTGCATCACTCAAGGCTTTCCCCCCACATTAAGCTAACACGCGGCGATAGAACTAGTATACTGTTAAAAGCGGCGTTAAACACAACTCACCACAGGGGGCACGGGTGGCCCAGTCGTCTAAGGTGCCGTGATTCGCTGTGCAGAGTTGCGTCGCTTGGGCACGCAAGAAACCTATGATTGTGGATTCGAATCCCGGTTCGCCCCGATTATGTTTCTAGGTTTGTCAGCACCATACCCGTGCTCGTGGGTTTCACGGAAGTGGTAAACGTCTGAGACCTGCATCACTTCGGGCTTTCCTCCCACATAAAGCTGACACGCCGTGATATAACTGGAATACTGTTATAAGCGGCGTTAAACCCAACTCACTCACTCACTCAACTCACCACAATGACAAACAGTCGATACAAAAGATACTGAGAGGCATTAAAAACTCAGATCAGGATAAATAGTCAGATATGATTTTTATTTTTGAAAACATTTCATATAAAGGGATAGGAGATGTAAAATGACGTCTCTCCACCGTCTGAGATGACGTCCAACAGCTGCCCGACGTTGACGATGCAGGCGATGTGCATGGGTATGGACCTGTCCATGATAGGGTCGACGACATCGGGTGTGACGTGCAGCAAGGTGACGTCAGAGTGTCCGGCCACTGATGGACCTTCCCCTACTTCCTTTTATTGGGGCGGTCGTGGTAGCCTAGTGGTTAAAGCGTTTGCTCGTCACGCCGAAGACCCGGGTTCGATTCCCGACATGGGTACAATGTGTGAAGCCCATTTCTGGTGTCCCCCGCCGTGATATTGCTGGAATATTGCTAAAAGCGGGGTAAAACCATACTCACTCACTTCCTTTTATTGCATCAGCAGTCCTGGAGTCCTGGAGCGATTCCTAAGCTGGCTGACGACGATGTACTGGGCCTGTCTTTTTGACGTCACACGAGGCGCTCCCGGACGTGGATGGTCTTGGACACCTCCAGTTACCCGGAGACGTTGCTGCAGCCTCGTAACGGTCGCCCGAGGGACGTGGAAGTGCTTAGCAACATCTTTCTGTGTCCGGTCAGCTTGTAGCATTCCTATCGCTTGGTTTCTATTGGCGTTGGTCAACCGTGGCATTGAAAATGTGAATGGTAGCCGTTTTTTAACCTGTCCTTTTTTATTGCCTAAGTGTACGTTTTGCATGGCCATCATGATTTTTTGTTCATCCGACAGCATTGTTATCAAAGATGTTCCTCATGGATATATCACATCTCTATGTTTGAAAACTTGAGAACCTAACCATAGGAGCTATGCAGATGTTAACAATGAGTTTTCAACATGCTTTAGTTTTGGCAAAACCAAAAGCTGTAAAACGTACTTAGTGAGAGGAAAAAAAACAGTATGCTTTTTTTAATGACTCTTTGTTTACAATAAACCCGTGAAGATCCGGGGTAGAATAGGTCTTCAACAACCCATGCTCGTCGTAAGAGGCGACAAGCGGAATCGGGTGGTCAGGCTCGCTGACTTGGTTGATGCATGTCATCGTATCCCAATTGCGTGGATCGATGCTCATGATGTCAATCACTTGATTATCTAGTCCCGACTCGATTATTTACAGATCGCCGTCATGTCGCTGGACTATTGCTGCGTGCGGCGTAAAACATCAGACAGAGGCCTGGACATCACGTGACATTTACACAGACGCAAGGTTGGCGGTAAATGGTCGAAGTAAAAAGTGACGTTTGCGCGAGTGAATGTGTCTACAAGCAGCATTCCTTCATATAGATGAACTAGGTATAATTGTGTAGTCGCATCTGTAGATTAGAGTAGTTTTCAGGACTCGCGAGGATCCCGGGGAAGAATGTAAGTCCTGAGCAACCTATGCTGGTCGTTAGAGGCGACTTCGTGGATAGGACGGTCAGGTTCATCGCATGTCATCTATGCTCAGTCACTGGATTGTCTGGTCCAGACTCGATTATTTACAGAGCGCCGCCATGTAGCTGGAATATTGCTGAGTGCGGTGTTAAACAACAAACAAACAAACAAAACAGCTGGTCTTCATCACGAAAGTCAAGCGTTCACGATAGGTGAACTTTTATACCAGGGATTTTCTGGGTTGAGTGAGTGAGTGAGTTGGGTTTAACGCCGCTTTTAACAGTATTCCAGTTATATCATGGCGTGTCGGCTTAATGTGGGAGGAAAGCCCGAAGTGATGCAGGTCTCAGTCGTTTACCACTTCGGTGAAACCCACGAGCACGGGTATGGTGCTGACAAATCTAGAAACATAATCGAAGCGAACCGGGATTCGAACTTCTGGGTTGATATCAAACTCAAACACCATTAACGGAGTTCATGTTTAAGACAAATATATATATATTTATATATAAGAACACGGTTATGAAAACGGTACCCTTTTATATTAACTACATACACATTATACTCTGGATATTTGAGTAACAAGCCTCGAAAGGCGACACATAATATATTCTTATAATATATTCATAATATAATCAGATATGTTATTCTGCATACTTATAACATGTACAAAGAAATAGCCTATATACTTAGTATATATGTCAAGGTTATACAAGTACATTTGCAACAACACTGTACATAATCCAAACTGTAGAATCACGAGAACAAATAATTAAATGGGCGTGGCCTTGCCAGTAAATTGGGTTGGTATTTGACGTGACGTACTGTCCGTATTTGACGTGACGTACTGTCGGTATTTGACCTGACGTACTGTCCGTATTTGACGTGACGCACTGTCCGTATTTGACGTGACGTACTGTCCGTATTTGACGTGACGTACTGTCCGTATTTCTGTACAAACAGCTGTTTTGTATCACCTCAACTTACTACCCTTCCTGTAATTCTGCGGCGTCAGGCTTGGTGGTGTTATTATCGACTAATGAGGATATTTCGCTGTGTTGTGTCTTTTGATTATCGTCTACAGTGTGATATGTAGAATCTCGCTCCAGCTCATCTATCAACATATTAATATCTCGTATATGTTTGGGTTTCTCTGTGTCCCATGACCTATACACGGCCGCGTTTTCTCGCAGCTCTCTTGCGTGGAGGCTGATATTGCTAGCTGCTTCCGCCGGAATGATAGTGAGGCTGGTGAAAAGCGCCGGTTCAACCGGAAGTTGGGATCTTCCATGAAGTGCTGCCGCCCCCAGAGTAACAAGAGATGACACCAAGAAGAAGCAGCCTGAAATATAAGGTCAATTTGAGGTCAGTAATACCGCCCGTGGTCTACCCATGGTAGAGTGTGTCCCTTGCACCCTAATGCTGGGCAGCCCCGTGGGGACCCGGGGTAGAATGTGACCTTAGCACCCTAATGATGGTCAGCTCCGTGGGGACCCGGGGTAGAGTGTGTCCCTTGCACCCTAATGATGGTCAGCTCCGTGGGGACCCGGGGTAGAGTGTGTCCCTTGCACCCTAATGATGGTCAGCTCCGTGGGGACCCATGGTAGAGTGTGTCCCTTGCACCCTAATGATGGTCAGCTCCGTGGGGACCCGGGGTAGAATGTGACCTTAGCACCCTAATGCTGGTCAGCTCCGTGGGGACCCGGGGTAGAGTGTGTCCCTTGCACCCTAATGATGGTCAGCTCCGTGGGGACCCGGGGTAGAATGTGACCTTAGCACCCTAATGCTGGTCAGCTCCGTGGGGACCCGGGGTAGAGTGTGTCCCTTGCACCCTAATGCTGGGCAGCCCCGTGGGGACCTGGGGTAGAATGTGTCCCTTGCACCCTAATGCTGGTCAGCTCCGTGGGGACCCGGGGTAGAATGTGACCTTAGCACCCTAATGCTGGTCAGCTCCGTGGGGACCCGGGGTAGAGTGTGTCCCTTGCACCCTAATGCTGGGCAGCCCCGTGGGGACCTGGGGTAGAATGTGTCCCTTGCACCCTAATGCTGGTCAGCTCCGTGAGGACCCGGGGTAGAGTGTGTCCCTTGCACCCTAATGCTGGGCAGCCCCGTGGGGACCCGGGGTAGAATGTGACCTTAGCACCCTAATGCTGGTCAGCTCCGTTGGGACCCGGGGTAGAGTGTGTCCCTTGCACCCTAATGCTGGTCAGCTCCGTTGGGACCCGGGGTAGAGTGTGTCCCTTGCACCCTAATGCTGGGCAGCCCCGTGGGGACCTGGGGTAGAATGTGTCCCTTGCACCCTAATGCTGGTCAGCTCCGTGGGGACCCGGGGTAGAGTGTGTCCCTTGCACCCTAATGCTGGGCAGCCCCGTGGGGACCTGGGGTAGAATGTGTCCCTTGCACCCTAATGCTGGGCAGCCCCGTGGGGACCCGGGGTAGAATGTGACCTTAGCACCCTAATGCTGGTCAGCTCCGTTGGGACCCGGGGTAGAGTGTGTCCCTTGCACCCTAATGCTGGGCAGCCCCGTGGGGACCTGGGGTAGAATGTGTCCCTTGCACCCTAATGCTGGTCAGCCCCGTGGGGACGTGGGGTAGAGTGTGTCCCTTGCACCCTAATGATGGTCAGCCCCGTGGGGACCCGGGGTACAGTGTGTCCCTTGCACCCTAATGCTGGTCAGCCCCGTGGGGACCCGGGATAGAATGTGTCCCTTGCACCCTAATGCTGGTCAGCCCCGTGGGGACCCGGGATAGAATGTGTCCCTTGCACCCTAATGATGGTCAGCTGCGTGGGGACCCGGGGTAGAGTGTGTCCCTTGCACCCTAATGATGGTCAGCTCCGTGGGGACCCGGGGTAGAATGTGTCCCTTGCACCCTAATGCTGGTCAGCCCCGTGGGGACCCGGGGTAGAATGTGACCTTAGCACCCTAATGATGGTCAGTTGCGTGGGGACCCGGGGTAGAGTGTGTCCCTTGCACCCTAATGCTGGGCAGCCCTGTGGGGACCCGGGGTAGAATGTGTCCCTTGCACCCCATTGCAGTCCGTGTTATATAGTTTACAAGGATGTGTTACGGGACATCGGACGCTCATTCTCCTGAAGTCCAGGTTGGCAGATATCATCACTTAAAACCAACATGTAAATTCGTCCTCCCTTTTGTTAACCTGCAGGTCCCCGCAGTGTAGACGTACCTGACACCATGAAGCTGATGTCGTAACTGGCCCCAATGTCGATGATGAATCCTGGAAAGAACAGAAACACATATAATGGGAAAGCACCACTCCATACGATCAACTGGCAACAGTCTAAATGACGTTGTTTAAATGACTTATAGTCAGTAATCACGGATATAAGATATAAATTCCTGTATTTTGTCTGTTTGTTTGTTTATTGCTCTCACCAATATTCCTGGTACATCACGGCGGTGTTATTGGTATGCACTACAAGAACTCTACAAGAAGAAATGTCTGAAAAATCGTTTCTTTTTTTCTTTATTCCAAAATTATTCCAGCTCTGTGACAACGGTTTGTAAATAGATTCTGAAACAGACAACCCAGTGACTTACATCATGAGCATCGATCCACCATTTGGGCTGGGAACAATTTTGTTTGAAACAATATTTTTTTCAGTCAGAGACCCAAGACAAAGAACTTTGCAGACAACGAGCAAATCCTTTCGTTAAACAATTATTTTTCCAGGATTTTCTGCGACAGGTTTCTTTAAAAAAATAATAAATTGTTTTTTCAACTGCGTCGTCTTACCTGCAATGGGAGGTCCAACCAGATATCCTGAACCAAGGACGAATGTCCCCAGTCCGATAGCTGCTGCCAGATTGTCCACGCCCACTAGCTCCACGGTGAGGGGGCTCAGCAGCACCATGGGACTTGCTAGATAGAAGCCCAGTATTGAGGAATATATCATCTGTCCCAGATAGGTGGCGCTGTACAGCGGGAACAAGAAGGTGGCTACCGTCGCCATTCCTAGACACCCCATGTGTAAAATAAGCCCGTCTACTTCCTGTTTCGTCACAACAAGTCCCGTGAGAACTCGTGCAACCAACGAGAATCCGCCCATTCCTGTGAAGAGCGCGGCCGCTGATTCGGGAGAAGTTCCTTTACTTTGGGCATAAAATGGAAGATGAAGGTAAATCGCGGACTGGGCGAGATTCCACGAGAATATACTAACACAATACAGAGCAAACGCTTTGTTCTGGAATATAAGAACATACCGCTGCCAAGCGTCGCGGGCAGATTCTCTCAAGGTTTGGTTTTCATTTTTGAGACGTTTTCTTTTCAGAATCCTTTCCAACTTGGTCGGGCGGAACAACATCCCACACGCGCACATGTTGGCGCCCACACCGCCCATGAGGAGGAAGGTCCCGCTGAGGCCGTAGTTATCGACGAAGAGGCGGATGACGGGTCCGCCACTGAAGAGGCCGAGTGCGGCACCAGTCATTGAGACCCCGGCTGTGATTCCTAAGTACTTCTTGAAGTTGTACCCCAGACTGACGACAGCGGCGCAATAACTGAAGCCCGTCCCTGCACCTGTTGACAGTGAGTGAGTGAGTGAGTGAGTGAGTGAGTGAGTAGACATTTACAGCTGAGTGCGAAATAAGGTACTCCGGAAGCGCTCGTTAAATCATCATCATCAAAATCATCATCATATATCATCATCATCATCATCATCATCATCATCATCATCATCGCTTTCATCATTATCGAATCCCTAGTTCCCAACATGCACGCCTCTTCCAAACATCGGACCCACGCTTGAACTGAATGTACAAGGATAGAGTTGATCTTACTATGTTCATTGGGGGGCACGGGTGGCCCAGTCGTCTAAAGCGCCGCGATTCGCTGTGCAGAGTTGCATCGCTTGGGCACGCCAGAAACCTATGATTGTGGGTTCGAATCCCGGTTCGCCCCAATTATGTTTCTAGGTTTGTCAGCACCATACCCGTGCTCGTGGGTTTCACCGAAGTGGTAAACGTCTGAGACCTGCATCACTTCGGGCTTTCCTCCCACATAAAGCTGACACGCTGTGATATAACTGTAATACTGTTAAAAGCGGCGTTAAACCCAACTCACTCACTCACTCACTATGTTCATTGAAACTTGAAATCGTAATCATCACTCACGCGACTTACATCGTGGACAACGTGCTTCAGAGTCATTGGGTAAAGTATATACATTGTTGCTAACACCCGGAGCATAGCGAACTCATGACGATAGCTCGGTTGTAGACGCACCTGCAATGACGCCGTATGTGATGAGAAGGACGTCGATGCTGTGGACGAAGGCGGAGCTGGTGAAGCCGACGAGGATGAGGATGCCGCCGATGATGGTGCAGATGCGGCAGTTGTAGCGGTTGATCACCAAGCTCGCCACGGGGCCTTCAGACGAGAGACGTGGACCAGTTTAAACATCAGTTTGTGTGTTAGTGAAAGAGTGAGTGAGTGATATATAAACAAAGGTGCTCTGATATTAATGTACACTCGTGGTTAAATACGACCGCCTTTGTGGTCTAGTGGCAGAGCGTCCGCCCGGAGAGCGGAAGGTCCGGGGTTCGATCCCCGGACACGTCATACCAAAAGACGTTAAAAGATGGTACTTGTTGTTACCCTGTCTGGCGCTCGGCATTAATGGGCTAAAACAAGGACTGGTCGGCTCGGAGTCAGTATACTGTGTCTGAGTGGGGTATTCATGTTAAACTGCGGCATGGTATCTCAGTGGCACTATAAATCGGCATCAGTCTGGACTAGTACAAGCAGCCACACACACACACACACGTGCATGCACGTCGCTATATAAGTGCAATAATCTTGGAAGGGACGTTAAACCCAATTTCATCTCATCTCATCTCGTGGTTAAATCATTTATGAAATGTAACTAGTATGACAGTTTATGGTATTACCCCGTACAATGCACAGTAGAACAAGGATTATAACGTGTGTCCAAATCTATATCCGAGGGATGCAGGAAATGTGTTAACGGCTCTGTAATAAGCAGTATTAATGTTAGAATCGATAGGCAAACAATGTCTTTTTAAGATATTTTTACGACCTTTATGAAAGATGAAGAAACAGAAACTAGCGTAGAATCCACAACATAGGAACAGTACGTGTCTTTATGATGGGGAAACATACACATTTGCCATACATTACTAGTCTTATGTCTGCCACAGAGCGGGATCACGATTGATGATAAACATTCAATCTGGAAATACCTTGTGCCCCGTCTTAAAGGGACTACGCCCCATTTTCCCTCACAACTGACAATGTCTAGACCTAGAACGGGCATCAGGCCAAGGGGTCCCCCTTTAAACTTCTCAACCTGTCAGGCACATCATGCTGGAGTGGAGGGCTCCCACCCACGACGTCTTGGCGTTGTCGTCGTGGTAGACGTCCAGGAGGGCGACGTGGATGATGCCGACGGTATAGGCAAACCAGCCGGACAGCAGGAAGGCCACGAAGCATGACCCTAGAACCACCCAGGACCAGCCCTTGTCCATCACGGAGCGGTTGGAGAGAGAACCTGCGGAGAATAGAGTGAGTGAGAGGGTTAGTGAGTGAGTGAGTGGGTTGGTAGGTGAGTGAGTGGGTTAGTGAGAGGGTTAGTGAGTGAGTGGGCTAGTGAGTGAGTGAGTTAGGTTTAACGCCGCTTTTAACATAATTCCAGTTATATTGCGGCGTGTCAGCTTAATGTGGAAGGAAAGCCCAAAGTGATGCAGGTCTCAGATCTTAACTACTTCGGTGAAACGCACGGGCACGGGTATGGTGCCCACAAACCTAGAAACATAATCGGGGTGAACCGGGATTCGAACCCACAATCAAAGGTTTCTGGCCTGCCCAATGGACGCAACTCTGCACAGCGAACCGCGGCGCCTAGGACGACTGGGCCACCCGTACCCCCATTGAGTGAGTGAGTGAGTGAGTGAGTGGGTGAGTGAGTGAGTTAGGGGTGTGGGTTTTTGAGTGAGGGAGGTTAAACGCCACTTTGCACAGCTATAATACGGAGTGTCAGTTTGCGACGTAGGGGAAATCCACCAGCCTGGTATGGTGCTGACAAACCAAGAAACAAAAAATCATAATCAGGGCGAATGTGGGATTCGAACTCACGAAGGATAGAAAAAATATTTTTTTGTGTCACTAGTTGTATTTTGGTAAAAGACACGAGGCCAGTGTGTGGCACTCAATATGAATATTGTTGGGGCGGTCTCCATCAATATAAATGAAATTTGAATAGTAAATTCATGTGCTGAAAGGAATGTCAAATGAAATTGGCCCGAAGTAGCCAATGTTTTTAACTTGCGACTAAATGGACCCCATGCAAGGCTTCGACTGGCTTGTGTGGCATGGTGAGTGAGTGAGTTTGATTTTACGCCGCTGTTAGCAATATTCCAGCAATATCACGGCGGGGGACACCAGAAATTGGCTTCACATATTGTACCCCTGTCGGAAATCGAACCCTGGACTTCGGCGTGACAAGCGAACGCTTCACCCACTAGGCTACCCCACCGCCCCTTGTGTGGCATGATACCACGTGACATGGGGTGCTGTGTCCAGTCACGGGTTTGTCTGGTCGGAGTCGATTATGTACAGGCGGCTGGAATATAGCTGGACAGGAATGCGGCACAACACAACAGTCACTCTCTCATTCAATAGGAATCATACCTATTAGGCAGCTTGAATAGTGTTGTGCATTTAACTGGATGGTGACGAAAGTGACGTGCCCATTTCAGATGACAAATGACGACGACGACGACGATGCAGGTGATTCGGTGACGTGAATAACGGTACACGCGTAAGAGGCCAGGAGACTGGGAATGATGGCACAGATACATTGCCTGTATAAATAGGACTTCATATCAACACTTCCCCCATTACAGCGCTAGCAATGTCGCCTGTCTACAGGCAGACCACTTCAGCTACGATCAATAAGATCGCGAACTAACATACCTTCATGTGCGCTGTTGCATGTACACATTAATATAAATGAGATTTTTATTATGTACCTTCCAGCGAAACAAAATATTGAACTGGAACTTCTGTTGTGTCATAAAGCTCCAGGTGGTAAAATTGCAGCTGCGCCCAGTGTTATCTTTATATCAACAGTAACTAGCTCCAACACCAGGCAGTTCACTGCGTGCTGGGTGAACGAGGTCTGTTTGCTGAGATGGCAGTCACACAATCCCCCCCCCCCCCCATCAGCTGACTTGGATTACGAGGAGATTAAACAACGTTTGCTCAACATAAAACCTTTGAGTGTTCTTGAAACGTATTCTCAAGTATGCAAATAGTCTAATTTCCGAGCAGGACGGGTCAGTGACACAAGTACGGATGGAAAGCGGCGACAAAGTCGATATGCTTCTCATGTACATCTTGTGAGTGTCTAGTTCACCAATAGTGATCCAGAAGGGGTATTTTGAAGGACACTGGTTAGTGTTCCAAATTAAGCACATAGCAAGCGAGTAATTAGCGACAATTTTGCAGCTCTAACGGAGGTGTTCCAGCCGTAACAACATCTTTAAGAAATAAAGGCGCTGTTCTCACACTAACGTAGTGTTTAAGCTCTAATGTTCTAATACTGACTCCATGTTCAAGCACTACCGGGGCTGTTCTGACACCAAATATGCCGTTATTCCAGCACTAACGGAGGTGTACAAGCACTAATGCCGTCTTTAGGCTCTACCGGAGGTGTTCAAGCACTAACGAAGTGTTCAAGTTCTAACGGAGGTGTTCAAGCACTAATGCCGTATTTAAGTACTAACGGAGGTGTTCAAGCACTAACGAAGTGTTCAAGTTCTAACGGAGGTGTTCAAGCACTAATGCCGTATTTAAGTACTAACGGAGGTGTTCAAGCACTAACGAAGTGTTCAAGTTCTAACGGAGGTGTTCAAGCACAAATGCCGTCTTTAAGCACTAATGGAGGTGTTCAAGCACTAATACCGTATGTAAGCCCTAACGGAGGTGTTCAAGTACTAACGCGGTGTTAAAGTACTAACGGAGGTGTTCAAGCACAAATGCCGTCTTTGAGCACTAATGGAGGTGTTCAAGCACTAATACCGTATGTAAGCCCTAACGGAGTTGTTCAAGTACTAACGCGGTGTTAAAGTACTAACGGAGGTGTTCAAGCACCAATACCGCCTTTAAGTATAAAGGGAGGTGCTCAAGTTCTAACGCATTGTTCAAGTTCTAACGTGGGTGTTCAAACACTAATGCTGTCTTTAAGCACTAACGAGGGTGTTCAAACACTAAAGTCGTATGTAAGCACTAATGGAGGTGTGCAAGCACTAATGTCGTATTTAAGCACTTATGGGAGTGTTCAAGCACTAATGCCGTATTTAAGTACTAACGGAGGTGTTCAAGTACTAACGCAGTGTTCAAGTACTAACGGAGGTGTTCAAGCACCAATACTGTTAGAACACTTATGCCGTCTTTAAGCACTGACGGAGGTGTTCAAGCAGTAATGCCGTATTTAAGCACTAACAGAGGTGTTCAAGTACTAACGCGGTGTTCAAGTACTAACGGAGGTGTTCAAGCACCAATACCGCCTTTAAGTACTAACGGGGGTGTTCAAGTTCTAACGAATTGTTCAAACACTAATGCTGTCTTTAAGCATTAACGGAGGTGTTCAAGCACTGATGTCGTCTTTAAGCACTGACTGAGGTGTTCAAGCACTTATGTCGTCTTTAAGCACTAACTGAGGTGTTCAAGCACTAATGTCGTCTTTAAGTACTAACGGGGGTGTTCAAGCACTAATGTCGACTTTAAGCACTAACGGAGGTGTTCAAGCACTAATGTCGTCTTTAAGCACTAACTGAGGTGTTCAAGCACTAATGTCGTCTTTAAGCACTAACGGAGTTGTTTAAGCACTAATGTCGTCTTTAAGCACTAACTGAGGTGTTCAAGCACTAATGTCGTCTTTAAGCACTAACGGGGGTGTTCAAGCACTGATGTCGTCTTTAAGCACTGACTGAGGTGTTCAAGCACTTATGTCGTCTTTAAGCACTAACTGAGGTGTTCAAGCACTAATGTCGTCTTTAAGTACTAACGGGGGTGTTCAAGCACTAATGTCGACTTTAAGCACTAACGGAGGTGTTCAAGCACTAATGTCGTCTTTAAGCACTAACTAAGGTGTTTAAGCACTAATGTCGTCTTTAAGCACTAACGAGGGTGTTCAAGCACTAATGTCGTTTTAAAGCACTAACGGAGGTGTTCAAGCACTGATGTCGTCTTTAAGCACTAACGGGGGTGTTCAAGCACTAATGTCGTCTTTTAGCACTAACGGAGGTGTTCAAGCACCAATGTCGTCTTTAAGCACTAACTGAGGTGTTCAAGCACTAATGTCGTCTTTAAGCACTAACGGGGGTGTTCAAGCACTAATGTCGTCTTTAAGCACTAACAGAGGTGTTTAAGCACTAATGTCGTCTTTAAGCACAAACGGGGTGTTCAAGCACTAATGTCGTCTTTAAGCACTAACTGAGGTGTTCAAGCACTAATGTCGTCTTTAAGCACTAACGGGGGTGTTCAAGCACTAATGTCGTCTTTAAGCACTAACGGGGGTGTTCAAGCACTAATGTCGTCTTTAAGCACTAACTGAGGTGTTCAAGCACTAATGTCGTCTTTTAGCACTAACGGGGGTGTTCAAGCACTAATGTCGTCTTTAAGCACTAACGGAGGTGATCAAGCACTAATGTCGTCTTTAAGCACAAACTGAGCAGTTCAAGCACTAATGTCGTCTTTAAGCACTAACTGAGGTGTTCAAGCACTAATGTCGTCTTTAAGCACTAACTGAGGTGTTCAAGCACTAATGTCGTCTTTAAGCACTAACGGGGGTGTTCAAGCACTAATGTCGTTTTAAAGCACTAACGGAGGTGTTCAAGCACTGATGTCGTCTTTAAGCACTAACGGGGGTGTTCAAGCACTAATGTCGTCTTTTAGCACTAACGGAGGTGTTCAAGCACCAATGTCGTCTTTAAGCACTAACTGAGGTGTTCAAGCACTAATGTCGTCTTTAAGCACTAACGGGGGTGTTCAAGCACTAATGTCGTCTTTAAGCACTAACAGAGGTGTTTAAGCACTAATGTCGTCTTTAAGCACAAACGGGGTGTTCAAGCACTAATGTCGTCTTTAAGCACTAACTGAGGTGTTCAAGCACTAATGTCGTCTTTAAGCACTAACGGGGGTGTTCAAGCACTAATGTCGTCTTTAAGCACTAACGGGGGTGTTCAAGCACTAATGTCGTCTTTAAGCACTAACTGAGGTGTTCAAGCACTAATGTCGTCTTTAAGCACTAACGGGGGTGTTCAAGCACTAATGTCGTCTTTAAGCACTAACGGAGGTGTTCAAGCACTAATGTCGTCTTTAAGCACAAACTGAGCAGTTCAAGCACTAATGTCGTCTTTAAGCACTAACTGAGGTGTTCAAGCACTAATGTCGTCTTTAAGCACTAACTGAGGTGTTCAAGCACTGATGTCGTCTTTAAGCACTAACGGGGGTGTTCAAGCACTAATGTCGTCTTTAAGCACTAAC